TCACTCCCAGGCTTCCAGCCAAACAATAGACAGGCATATGGGGTAACATTTACATCAGGTAGATACACTCCTTGGAATGATCAGTCATGGGAGACCAGCAGGGCAGTATTTGCACAGGGAGACAGCTCAGGGGGCAGGAATGTATAGGAAAGGACACAACGAAGAGGCAACTACAGGGAGAAAATGGGAAGAGAGCTGTTACATGGTGGGAAATTGCAGTCAATGTCATGAAACAAAATGTGGATGAACTGCTATATGGAAAACGACTTTGCTCTGTAAACTTTTCCCAAAATCACAATGAAAATGAAAAAAAAAATGGACATGTTGACTTTTTGAAGGAATTTACTTGACTTTTTGAAGAGATAATCCACGAGCATTATGCAAAATTCAAAAACTACCACCACCTGGCGTAAGATGAGGCAGTCTACAGCTGAAAACATTTATACCCTTGGAAACCCTACAGGACAGTCCCACTCTTTCCTGCAGGGTCGCTTGGAGTCGGAAGTCCACTCCACGGCAGTGGGCTTAGTTTGGGACAAGACATATAAAGATGAGAATCAAACCGCCATTTCCCAGCCACCCAGTCATTTCCTGGAGCCAAGGCAGTTAGCAGATTCGTGTCTACTTTCTAGAAATAGTCTATGCGTCCTTTTAACTTTCTAAACAGTAATACTGATCACGATAGAAAAAATAGAAATGCCGACTAGCAGAAAAAGAAAAATCCCTCCATGAATCACAGCTAACAGACTGGTGCTTTTGTTGGAACATTCTGTGTGGGGAGTTGAAAAGACAAGCCGCCGTGGGATGGCAGAGAACTCCCAGGACCATCCTGGAGCTACAGGCTCGGGATCGCACACGTGGCAGTCCCGACTGTGCACCCGCGGTACTCTCACGGGCGCAGACAAAGCCCCAAGACCGGGACAAAGAGCCGTGGCCGCGCCTGCGCACAGTGCCCGCGGGCCCTCGCAAAGTTCCGGGGACGCGGTCCTGCTCCTGGCGCGCCGCGCTGACGTCATGCTTACGCTACGGCGGAGTTGCCATGGCGTCGCTGAGCTGTCTGGCGTCGGCGCTGGAGTCGTACAGGGGTCGGGACCGCCTGGTGAGGCTGGGTCCGGACGGGCTCGGGCCGGCGGGGTGGTGATCCCGGACCAGCGTCCTCCCCGTTCTGCGGAATCCCACTTCGTGGAAGCCGCGGCGGAGCGGGACCGCAGGTCTTGGAGTTCGGTCAAAAGTCAGAGATGGCGAAACTGAAGCCCAGAGCAGGGGCGGGTCGCTCAAGAGCCTCGTCGTAGAAGCCCTGTTCGAGCTGCTCTCGAATGGTCCCCGAGTGTTGGCCACATGGCTTGTTCCAACTAACCCAACCCGGCTGGACATTTTATGTATCAACTAAGTCCCCACTTTTGACATTTAGTATCACACTTAGGCCTCAGTCGTTGCTCCCTAGGTTGTCCCGAATTGTTTCATGTGGCGATTTAGGATACCGTAGGGTTCCCCAAGCCAAATCCCTTATAGTTGAGCATTTAGGTTGTCCAGCCAACTCAATACCAAGGCACCATCATGGCCAGACCTGTGTAGTTGGC